CCGTGCGCGGCGTCCGGGCCTTTGTTGTCGACTTTGGGCTCCCACCGGAGGGTCTTTGTTGGTGCTCCGAGCTCAGCCGACCGGCCCGGCGAGCTGGGAGTGGCGGCGGCGCGCGTGCTGCCTCCTCTACTGCTGGCAGCTCTGGGCGCTGCAGAGGAGCTGTCACGGTTCCAGAGTCGGCTGTCCCCGTGGGGCGGCTTTTCAGAGTCCTTTCCTCCTTTACTTTCCCAAAGAGTACTGTTTCCGGCCCTCTGCACCCCAGCCCCCATTTCTTGGGGTCTTTTCTTGTTCGGTGTCTTGGTGACAGGGAAGAGGATTGATTTGTGCTTTGGCCGGTTTCAGAGCTTTCCATTCTTTCGTTGCCCAAGGACATTGCTTTCCAGTAACCCTGTTCTGACTAGGATTTGGAGTGTTAATTACACAGTTTGCTCTTGACAGAAGTCACAACTTGAGTCTACATTTGGACTTGATCACAACTCTCCAGTGACGTGTGGAATTGCATGGAGCTGCTTCTTGCTAAGGACAACATTGATTAAATTGTCTAATTGGGGAGGAAATAGACAAGTTTTATACATTAAGATGAACCTAATGGATGTATCATTGTTGAGCATTTGTTTCAGAAACACAGGTTTGAACAATGGCGATCATTTTAGCAATTTTTGCAGTTAACACTTTCAGTTGCCAGCCTCCAAATTCTGAAATCTTTTTTTCTTAGGGGCAGAGATACTTGATTTACAGAAGAATCTCCATTGTATGCACTTGATTCTCCTGTGTTATTTGATGGTTCACTGTTTAAAAAGAACTTCGTGAGATCAAGGATGATTTGTCTAGGAGTAAAGGCAGTCAGAAAGTTCCTCCTGTAAAGTAGCATTGGTCTGAAGACAACAGAGATTCTGTCATTGTTTTTAAATCTTAATATTAAAGAAGTTTTGAAATTTGCACTTCCTCTGTCCTGGAAGTACGCACTTACTGTCTTGGTCTTCAGGTGTAAAATATATTTTAAACTTAAAAAATTATTTCAATACAATATGCACAGTAGAAGGCTTTCATGTATAAATGGAGTTGGCTCATTTTGTTGTTTTGCAGGAGGGTGTTACTCTTGTAACCCTGACTGGCCTGGAATTTGGGGCAGTCCTCCTACCTCTGCTACCACAATGCTGGGATTATGGGTGGTTATCACCACCACCACCACCGCGAGTTTGGAGTAAGATTTTTAACCAGTGAAAAATATTAAAGTCTAGTTTAGCTTTGGGTGTTTTTTTTCTTTAGAGACCACTGATGACTTTGAGGAATTCAGGGGAATTATTAATGGAATGTCATTCAGAAGAAGGATTGCAGGGCTCTTTCTTTAGTGTCTGATACAAAATTTTCACTCTAAAATTTTTGGGTGTTTTGTTTTGTTTTGTTTTTAATGGTATTGAGAATTGAACAAAGACAGGCCCTCAAAAATACTTTTGATGAGTGAAACATTTAAAAAACTAAAAGTACCAGCTGGGTGTGGTGGCACACACCCTTAGTCCCAGCACTGGGGAGGCAGAGGCAGGCAGATCTCTGCGTTCAAGGCCAGCCTGGTCTACATAACAAGTTCAGGTGAGCTGGGTCTACAGGGAGACCCTGTCTCAAAAAGGTGAAAATAAATAAATAATAAAGGTAATTTCCTGTATTAGTTTTATTAAGTGATTAGTCTTATTGTACATAAATTGTTTTTATCAGACTGACAGAACATCACATAGTAATGAAATACTGGGTGGCTTTCAAAATTTGTAATTTATATTATTTTGAGAACAGGGTCTCACTATATAGTGGGTTGCTTAGGCTGTCCTCAAACTCCATACTGGACAAGTTCAGGTGAGCTGGGTCTACAGGGAGACCCTGTCTCAAAAAGGTGAAAATAAATAAATAATAAAGGTAATTTCCTGTATTAGTTTTATTAAGTGATTAGTCTTATTGTACATAAATTGTTTTTATCAGACTGACAGAACATCACATAGTAATGAAATACTGGGTGGCTTTCAAAATTTGTAATTTATATTATTTTGAGAACAGGGTCTCACTATATAGTGGGTTGCTTAGGCTGTCCTCAAACTCCATACTGGACCACAGTCCAGGATGACCTTAATTTTTTGATCCTTTTGTTTTCACCTCCCTAGTGCTGGGATTACCAATGTGCACTTGAAGCCCAGTTTACTCCATGCTGAGGATCAAACTGGGGGCCTTTTTCATTCTAGATAAGGCTCTAAAAGCCAATCCTTCAAATTGCAAATTAATTAAAAACTATCAAATTATGAAGTCTCACAATAATGTGAATGTAAAGTGATCTATAGAGCTAGGTGCGACACAAACCTGTAGCATTTGGGAGGCTGAGGCAGGAGGTGGAATGGGAGTTTAAGGCCTCCCTAGGCTACATAGTGAGGTCCAGGCTACAGAATGAGATCCCATCTCAAAAGCCAGAAAGCAAAAATTAAAGCACAAACCAAAAAAAAAAGAAACACCCACTTTCTTCTTTAGCCTTGTGTCTAAGTATTGTTACCTGAGGGATAGTTAATACAGAATTTAATGGAGAAATTTAAAGACAGTGGTAGAAAGAAGAGGAGCTAGAAATTGCCTTGTTTTCTAATCTTGGAATTATCATTCAACTATTTCTAAGTTTTGTTTTTTTTGTTTTCCTATCAAACTGGGCTGTTCACATGCTTCAGGAAAACCAAGGTGAACCAATGTTTAAAGCCACCACACCTGGCTTTAATTTTTTTTTTTTTTGATTCACTGAAAACAGTTGTGCATATTTATTAGACACAGTGTGTTACTGTTGTACATTCGTGGGCTATATAATGATTGAGTCATGGTAATTGGCATTTCCATTACCTCAAAACATTTCTTTGTAAAGAAGCCATTCCATATCCTCTTGTCTGGCTAACAATTTTGAGACATACATGACATTGTTAACTCTGTTACCCTAATGTGTAATAAAGCATGCCATTCCTGATTGTAACTTTGTTCCTTCTCCTCAGCCCCTGGTTCTACAGCTTTATTTTGATTCTACATATGAGTGAGATTATATGTTTTGTCTTTCTGTGTTAGGTTCATTTAACTGAACATCACCCAGTTTTCACCACATTGTTGCAGATGACAGAATTTCATCATTTTTATGTCTGAATAGTATTCCATTGTCCCTACTTGAGACATTTTCTTTATTAATTCATCAGTTGGTAGGCACTTTGGTTACTTACTGGGTTTGGTACTCCACTGAACATAAAACTTCAGGTGCCTCTTCAGGGATTGATGGCTTTTATGGTAGCTGAGTTTATAATTTTATCTTTTCAATAATTTCCATTGACTGAGGTGAGGCGAGAGCTGTTGTTGCTGTTCTCATTTGAACCTAGGGCCTTGCAGGTGCTAAGCACATTCTTTATCATTGGGCTACACTACCTGCCCCCTTCATGTGGTTTGGATTTTCATTTTCCTGATTAGTGAAGTCCAGCATTGTCATATACCTTCTAGGAAGATTCTATTGCCTGGTCTTAAAGTTCAGTGGTAGTATTTTTACCATTGAGTTGTTTGAATTGTTTATACAGTCTGGATATTATAACTCATTCTCAGAGATGTAGTTTGTAATTCTTTTCCCTATTCAGAAGATTATCTTTTACATTGTTTCTTTTCTTTTTTTTTTAAGTGGAAAGATAATTTATTAGAGTTTAAAAGTAAAACCCCAGGCAGGCAAGCTGTAGATCTTCTAGCTGCCTGGAAGACAGAATGGAGAAAGAACAAAGCAAAACTGCTTGAGGTAAGCTGACATGGAGGTCAGCCACCTGGCCAGAGGCAGACACACAGTGGGGAGGGGAGCTTTAGAAAAAAGAGTAAGGAAGCCCAAAGCATGAGGTATAGGGAGTTTAAAAAGCATTCACAGACTGTGGCCAGCATCTGAAAGAAAAAGACAGAAGAGAAGAAACAGTTACATGTTTCCAAAGAAAATTGGCTACATTGTTTCTTTTGCTGTACAGAAGTACTTCAGAAACTTTTTAGTTTGACATAATAATAGTTGCCTAATTTTACTTCTGAGGTTATATTAAAAAAAAATCCTAGCCCCATCTGTTTTCTTCTAGTAGTTTCATAGTTGATGTTAAATTCTTTAATCTGTTTATAGTTATTTTGTATCTAGTGAGGAGTTAAGTTTCATTTTTCTGCATATGAGTATCTGGTTTTCCCAGTTCCACTTACTAAAGAGGCTGTTCTTTTCCCCAATATATGTTCTTGGCACCTTTGTGGAACATCAACTGCAGATGTGTGAGATAAAATTGGACTCATTTATATTTTGAATTCTTTTGGGGGAGGGGAGCCTTTTTGAAGCAGGGTCTCCCTGTAGCCCCAGTTGTCCTGGAACTCACTATGTAGACCAGGCTGACTTTGAACTCACAGAGATCTGCTTGCCTCTGCCTCCCAAGTGCTGGGACTACAGGCGTGCACTACCACGCCCGGTTTATATTTTGAATTCTTACCGTAGCAGAAGTTGAGCTGGTGAATATAGTGAACCCATATAAACAGAAATTGCTTGTGATCGCTGGTTAACATGGCAACCTTGGCCTCCATATCATCCTTCCCATCTCCTGCACAAATGGAGAAGAAAAATAAATGCTTAAAGGTTTATTGGGAGGAGGACAGGGTAGGTAGAATGTGGGCCTAAGAGACTCTGTTGTAAATCTTTCATATTCTTATGTCTTTTGAATGTTGGCTTTAATGTGTAAGCAATTTACATTAATGATTTTAATACAGACTTTGAATA